CACTGCAGTTTCAATGCATGATTTTTCTACAGAAATATAAAGACTTGTCTATTCTGCTATACACTACAGTGTGGTTTATTATCCTAAAAATAATAGACCTGATTCTTTCTTCTACATAGGGTATGGAGTCGTCTCTCCAGAATGTCTCAGAGGTAAGCGTGCATTAGCTTGTATATTACTTTTTCCATACCAGTGACAGTAAAGTCATCATATTTAGATGCCATAGTGAATGCTAGAGAAGTACATTTCCTACACATTCTGTAATGACTGATATGGTTGTTTTATTCCTGTAATCAACAGGGTCAGGTCAGTGGGATGGATAAGGAGCATGAGAAACAGAGCCTGATTCCCTCAAAACTAATCTAAGTAGACTCATCTGTTGCCTTTTTTTATATATGAACTTCACCAGAAAGAGATTTAAAATGAACACTTAGGTTTAATATGTACATACAATTTAAATACACACATACAATTTAAACACACACACACACACACACACACACACACACACAAAGAGTCATTATTTTGTTATGCGTCTGTCATAGAGTGTTAAGAATATAATTAGGATTATCTTGTGCCATGGCAGTCCGCACTGATAGATGATCTCTTATTCTTATTAATGTTGTCTCATGAAATGGTTTTTGAAACTTAGCCTTTTAATTTGAAGAAAGTGAAATTCATTTATTTGCTTTAACTGAAAACTTGACTCTCATAATGTGCATCTCATCATATGCAGTTTTTAGAGACTTGTTTTAACAAAAATGCAAATTGAGAAAGATCCACTTCCAGGCTGAATGACATCATGACATAATACAGTATAAGCACGGTTGGACATCATTGCTATTCTTTAGGAATTATAAAGCAGATAGCATCAGCTGTACTCAACTTCCTCCCTTAACTATATGACTTTCATGACTGCTTTTGTTTATTTCTTATAAGTGCTGATAAATTTGTAGGTTCATGAAAACACATACACACACCTCAAGAAATAGCGAGGGCATTTTGGTACTTATGAATAAAGTCTTAATATGAAGCACCTGTTACTGTCAAACACTCACTCAAATGTACAAGATCGTTCACTGATATGGTGGTCATATAGCTGGTATCAGAGTTATATCTGATCATTCTGAAATCAGTGCATAACAATATGAACATCTGTTGTTGTTCTTCTTTCGGATGCTCCCTTTAAGGGA